AACTTCATCATTTACAACTTCATCATTTACAACTTCTTCATTTACAAATCCATCATTTACAACTTCTTCATTTACAACTTCATCATTTACAACTCCATCATTTACAACTCCGTCATTTACAACTTCTTCATTTACAACTCCATCATTTACAACTCTCCTCAACACATATCAAATGTTTAAAATAAAGGAAGGGACAATTTTAAAGTAAAAACAGGTCATTTTGAATTTGAAGACAGAAACGCATTTTAAATAAGTGAAGACGGGGCCCCTCCCTCTTCACCACAACGGACCGGCACAGCATCCACAATACTGCAGACCAATCCATCGGTCAATCTGACGCTCTGTGTGAAGAGGGAGCTGAGCTGCAAGACAAAGCTCTCTGTTTACCGGTCGCTCTGTGACGTTGAGCAACACGTTAGATCAAGTGACAACAGGTCAGTACGAGGGCTGAGCATAAAAAGAGCTTTTAGAGGCTGAACCTGTCAGAAGTAAAGATGGGCAGGGGTTCAAGAGTCTGAGAAAAACTGCATAAAAATAGTGGAACAATCTCAGAACGTTTCTTCATTTAAAAAAATTTGTAAATACTTTAAACATCTCATCATCCGGAGTCTGTAATACCGTCAAAAGATTTAAAGGCTTTAATGAAACGTGAAATAATTTAGAGAAGGCGTTGGATGGTCCGATTCTGTTCTGGACTTCCCTGCATGGACCCAGGAACACTCCCACCGATCATAAACACAGTTTGTTGCATCGTCCAAATGGATGTTAAAGAAATCATGGGAAGAAGAAGCTATCCGTGAACATCTAGAACCAACGTCGTGTTCTTTGGGCCAGAGCTCATCTGAAATGGACACAGTCAAACTGTTCTGCGATCAGACAAATCCAAGACTGGTGAACTTGGACGCCAAGACCCCGTACTAAAGAGGAGAGGAACCATCCAGTCTGTCATCAGTGTACAGTAAAAATAAAAATAAAAACCTGCCTCTATTATGGTATAGGGGTGCATTAATGCCTCGAGCATGGGCAACTTACACAACACTACCGTACAGCAGCTTACACATCTGGAAAGGCACCGACTCAGTAGGAACCCCACTGACCTGCACAAGGTGAGGTCAGTGAACAAGGCCAGGCTGATTCTGGCAGATCCTGATCAGCACTCCATGGTGAGTTCAGGTGTCTTCCATCTGGACGCAGGAATCTGCTGCTCTGATGTGAACAGACCAAACAACTCACCCATCCCTGCAGGGATCAGCTTCTCAACGAACAGTGACTTCTGTTATTTTAATGTCTTGACGTCTGGTACGGATGTTTCATGTTCTGTGTGTCTGCTGACTGAAACAAAGTGAACTTGAACCATCGATGCAGAAACTGGACTGTTGACCTCCTACAATCCTCCATCGGACAACGTTCCCCTCCCCAAACTCCAACTAGTTCCTCGATGTCTACAGACCGATGCTAAAAGAAGAGGGGATGCTTCACGGTACCAGCGTGGGTGCACGAGATATGAAAACCATTCAACTCTGGTTTGATTTACATTTTACAAAACAAGCCAACACTTTTGGACTTGAGTTATCCGTCCAACGTAGGTTCTCACAACTTCTGAGCAAAGTTCAGGGGTTTAGCATCGTTTCTAATAAACACTTCACAACTACAAACAGTAGAACTACGAACAGATCCAGCGGTGCGTGCACGTAATGCTATCAGGCTGAGGGTGGAAGGGCAAAGAGAATTGGACTGACGGGCTGATGGAACATGCACCCACACAGGATCTTCAGATCGATAAAGTCCAATGAGAGCATGAAGTCAATATCTTGTGCCTGTTATCTCTTCAGGTGGTCTGTAATAAGGCCAAAGAGGAGAAGACGGAGGGACGGCTCTCGAGCAACCACAACCAAACCTTCTCAAGATTACCGAGCTCCAAGTGTAGATTAAGTAGCACGAAACCAAGTAATAACACCGCCGTCACACAAAAGGCTGAAGCGAGACAAACTGGAGGCAAAACTGATCTGAGGAGAAGCAATTTGGCAGCTACAGATTTCAAAGACTTCTTGTTCTTTCATCGTAACATCAATGTTTCGAACTTTATTTAATCGTGTTAAAACTACAAAACAGCTGCGCGTCGCTTACTTTACAAAATTGAAGCGATCGTTACGTTTTAAGAGGAAAGGTTAGACAAAAACACCGTCTCGCCCGCTGTAGACAGCTCTTTGAAGAGCATCGTATTGCAGAAAGAGTTTAATTCAGATTGGACTGGAAAACCAGTGTGAACGGGCTGAAACCAAAGTGGATTCTTAAAACGGCTTCAGTTTGAAACATTTTACACAAAAGTTCATTTATATATTCCAAACCGCTTGCAATTTCACAGAAATATATAACGTGCTACAGCTAGCTGCTGCTGCGGCCAGTTGATCCTGCAAATAACTACAAAATGTAAATAAACACATGTTCAGTGCAAAGTGTTCGCATGAACTGCTCCGACCTTTTTGTGACGGGCGTCGTTTGCAGATGCCAGAAATTCATTTTGGCCTCACTTGGATCAGAATTAAACAATTGCTACAAGGTGCGTTCGAGACGACGGTCTCTGCGCAGAACTCCAGCACATTAAAGGATCCGAACCGTTCCACTCACCACGCTTCGACAGCGGCCGTTGTTCTTTCAAAGCCAAAATAAAAAGTGTGGTCGCCCACACAGGAAGTGGTTTGTGAACTTGGAGCGAGTCGGTAAGTAAATAAACAAGCAACGAAGCAAATGACTCGTGTACTTGAAGATATTTTGCTTCCCTTCTAGAGATGTTACTGTGAATATGCAGGTTTTTATATATTTTAGGAGCACCCGATGAAAACAATGCATCAACGCTTTCCTCTAAACTAACCTTTGACATGTGGGCGTGGCCTTTGTCTGTCTACCTGGAAGCTTTATGTGCTGCACTCCTTGCTTCCTGTTTGTGGTGGTGTTACAGCGCCACACACAGGCACGACATGGTTACTACAGCATTTTGGGTTCTTTTTGAGTAGACAAAAGGTCCCGTGTTTACAAGGATATTTTTTTAGAAACAACAAATAAAAAGGCAGTTTAAAAAAACAAAACTAAAAAATATGAAATAAAATATGTCTAAAAAAGTGGAACAATTCATAAAAACATCGCCTCGCCGTATACGACGCATTTATTATGAGTCACCGCTGACAACCCAGAGATGTGGGCCGGTGTGACAACAATCGATGGGCTGACAAATGGCGGCCGCGGGAGTGTGCACGGGAGGACTTTAACAAGATTAACACTTAAAACATTATTTGTTTGCTCAAAATTATAGTAAATATGTGTCTCAGTTGAATTTTTACTTAATAAATGCACTTTAATGGTCAAATCAGCTGCATTTAAAAACGGGCGGTGCAGCTGGTTTGACTTGCTCCAAGCAGCGAGCAGAACGAAGGTGGAGGTTCTATGGCAAGCTGATAGTGTTATTAATAGCTGGTGAAGATTCTCAGTCATCCAGGGCATGGTAAATTAAAAAAAGTTCAAGACAAAAACAATAAAGTGTAATAAGTAAAGTCCACTTGTTTTTGTCTTGAACTTTTTTGAATTTGTCATTATAGCCATGTTTACCTATTACATGATACAACGGCATGCCCTACTGCTACTTTGCTGCCATCTAGTGGCTGACAGTGGTGATGCTCTTTTTTTTCAGTCAGAATGAATGAAAACGGTCAAATCTCAGCCAACAATTGGTTTATAAATATGAGGAAAAAATCCATAAATACGTTGCTTCGGCCTATAAGTCAAGTCACATTTCTTTATATAGCACATTTAAAACATAAGTCGCAGGTCATGTAAATTATGAAAAAAAAAAACGCGACTTATAGGCCGAAAAATCCGGTACTTGTGGAGCATCCAATTACATCCCTGAAAAACGTATATCCATACAGACAGGTCACATTTCATCCAGGTTTACCTCCCTCCGTTGTTTTCCTGTAAATTTAAAGTAACTTAAAATCCTGCCTAAAGCTCTTTATGGCAAAATTTCATCATGAAATAAAACAACTTTATGTTTTCCATCACCAATCAAGAGGTCTATGCTGCCATGGTGGTTGTTCCCGCTCCTCTCCAGTGAAACCAGCTCCCAGTTTGGCTATACGACGACGACACCCTCGCTTTTTTAACGTAGCCCAAATTCATCTGTTACAGGATTCTACGCACCAACATGGTTAGAAATGCTCTTAACCTTTTATCCGTTTCCTTCATTTATTTCTCTTCATTTATTACCTGTATTTTTCTAAAGTTTAAGCTTTTAAAACTATTTTCTAGATTAGATTTCTTTCACACTTAACATCTAACTTATTGTCATCGTGGGCCTGTTCTACGTACAAATGCATCAAAGCTGACACGCTTTAACTTTTACTGATTTGCAGGAACCTGCTGCAACTCGAGGCCCAGATCATTGTTTAAGGTGCACTTCGAATAAAGGAAAGCACATAGATGAAAAAGAGGAACCAGCTGGGCTGTAACAGTGACCAGTCCTCGTGCGCAGACGTGTTTTAGACTAGATCGCATGCACACACGTGCACGCAGTTGTCCATATGGCCAGTTGTCATCTCCTGGCCACCTCCACGGCCCTATCTCCTGCCTCGTCCTTCCTGTGTGCTGCATTAGTGGCTGCTGGATAAATAGCAGCCCACTGCCTGCCCACAGGAACAAAGGTTAGATACACACGCTGCAGGAATACACACGACAACGCAGGCAGTTAAACACTCAGAAAACCTGGTAACTCAGCCACTAAAAACATCCACATGTCAAACAGTAATCACACGTGCACGCGCTCAGAGAAGACGTGTGGTTGACTCGCACACCGGCAGCAACTATTACCAGATAATCCGCGTTTTAGTGAAGGTG